ACCCGTGGTGGGCAGAGCACAGATAGCCCATTGTGTAGCTTTGTGCATAAATTCAAACAAACAAACAAATAAACGAATTTACCAAGTGGAGTGAGTACCCAGATGTATTACGTCACAATGATTTCTCATATTACTAAATTATAATATATTTTTTCGATCTAAGCATATTAAACCTAATTATATTTTCTCTTCTCAAAATAAACCAAAAATAATAAGGATGTTTATAAGAAATTAATAAGAATTTTATTCTGAATCTTAAATAACAAAGAAATCAAAGAGCTTAGGTTTCTTATGCTCTTTCACTCCCAGCAACCATTTACCCTTATCATTAGGCCTACTTGTGATGAGAAAATGCACTAATTCGGATAAACCAATACAGTATTTCTATCTTGTTCTGTTGTGACAGGATTAGAGGTGTCGCCTAGTGATTAGCATACTCAAACTTATAATTTTAGGGTTCGGAGTTTCGTAGCCTATTGTCGCAAAATTACGCTCCACACTTTGGGGCCTTCAAGTGCTAAAGAGTGGCAGCCAAATCTCACCATTTGGTCATAGTGTAGCTCAAGAGTTTGAAGCGAGTGATGTTGAGTAGCTGCCTTTCTTCTCGTCTGTTCGTTCCAAGTTAGCGATCACGACGTGCAGGAAGACAGCCCTCTGTTCAGATTTGAACGAAAATTCTGAAATGAATGTTCAAACAAATTGTTATAACAAGTATCGTTCAAAGGTGTTCAGTGTATCTCTTCATCCTAGCAACACAAACTGTACAGAAACACAAATTCGATTAGTTGGATCACTTGTTAAAACTCTGATCGTAATATTTTCTAATAAACCTCAGCTTGAATTTTCTTCGTGAGCTGTTGACTAAGTTATGTGGAATTCTGGCGTATGTCTGAGGCAAACGAACTATTTTGGATAAAATATTTATGACACTTGGCTTTATAGCTTCATGTTGTGCTTGTTGCTGTAATCTAATATCATGACATAAAGGCCAAAATTCCTTTAGATTTTAAACAAGAGGGAATCCTAAATAGCCGCGGCACTTGAAATTCTTTTGGCAGGATTAGAGTAAATTAATCTATGAGACTTTTTCTTTTTTCATTTTTATTAGCTGTATTTGTGTACGCCAGCAATAACCAAACGTGGGGCGCACGCATACCCGATTCAATTTTATTACTCATCAGGATCTCTACTAATCTACTCTCAAACTGAAATTCATTTAGGCAGGATTAGAGTAAATTAATCTATGAGACCTTGGGTGTGGTCAAATATATCAATCGAAAGGGTTTGACCTCCTGAGTCGAAAAATGTAATTAGATCTCAAATCGGTTAAGAGATGACGGAGCTACGAGTTAAAAGTTTGTACTTGAAAAAAAAACTCGGAGCCATTCTATGAACCGCTAAGTCGCGGCTAAAAAATATTGCAAAACCGTAAAACATTTGCAGTTTCTTGCTGCAATCTGTTGGTAAATTTTATTAATAACCGTGTTTATAAGTTCAATATTTAAAAACATCTTGTTTGCCTTCTTTTAAATTGTGGTATTCTCAGGTGCACTGATGACCTTATAGGCAAGAATAGTACCGCAGTAACAGGAGATATAGCAGAAACTGTGTTCTGGAAAAGAAATTAAACATAATATAAATAAAATTGTAATGTATATTTACTTACAATACAAGTCAGAGACCAGGGTATAAAGACGACAGCATTTCTCTCTGTTTCTGTTTAGAGTTCACGTTAGGAAGAATTCTGGAATCAAGAGTGAGAGGGCATATCATTATATACACATTATCCCATGCGCTACTTACATTACTGGTTATTCCATTGGTGAAAACAAGAAAGATATAGCTCTCTAGACATTTCTCAATTTAAACAAGGTCAAAACTAGGTCTCCAACAACATCATCTGTGATAAAGCTCAGTGATATCAAAGTGTGACACACACTCCTTAACCGTGTGCAACTAGCAAACGAAATAAGATTACTACTGTAAAAAGCAGATTTCCTATAAGTGAAGGTTTATTAGTGCACATATTTTTTTTTAATAATGTCTGTAAACTGTTTAGTTTATCTTTTTGAGCTAAGAGAGAGAAAGAAAATATTATATTTTTCCAAGTACCAAATCCCACTCTCCCTTGATTTCAGGTCGTCCCTAATCTTATGTTTAATAAAATATATAAAACATATCAAAAACCTATAGATCAACTGTGTTCTTGAATACCTTATTTCTTGCGCCTGACAAAACACTTGCATCACATGACAGTTTAAAGAGAAACAAATAATCGTTAAGAAAATCCAAGTTACAATAACAAAAATTCAAGTTACAATTTTAAATCAGAGTTAGAATACAGTATAAGAATAAACCCTTTAACAAAAAAGTAAATAATACTAAACAAATACAAGTAAACCCTTCAGTACAAGTCAATAGTTAAATTTACAACAATACATTAGCCATTAACAATGACAAGAAAATACAATTATACATCCCTCATTAATAACAAACAGTAGGAAAGACCGCAAGATGTGGAAAAATAATGAAAAAAAATATTAAAACACACATCTATAACAAAAACCTTTTTATATTATTACTTCAATGTTTCGGGCAAAAACGTTGAAGTAATAATAATAAAACGATTTTGTTATAGACGTGGGTTTTAACATTTTTGTTTCATTAATTAACAACAAAGCATCATAAATGAACAATACAAATTAAACAATCAATACAAATCAAAACATCGGTTAACACTGATTGATATATATATAGTTAAAACCTCATAGGCGACAAAGATATCGAAATTATACAATAAGTCGAACAATCGCCAAGTTTTTTTTTAAATATTTGTTTAAGGAAGAGTGACGTTTCGAGCTAGCGCTCTTCGTCAGATTGCACAGCTTACAACAATTCTAAGCTGTACTATCTGACGAAGAGCGCTAGCTCGAAACGTCATTCTTTTTAATATAACAAAAATTTGACGATTGTTCAACCTATTCTATAATTTTTGACATTAATCGATACACAGTATTCGATTTTAAGTTACAATACAACGATATAAAAATCCCTTAATCAGTGAATTAATGTCATAAAAAATAAGCACGTTAACATAGATTCATAACATAGTTAAGTATTTCATCTAGTTTAACACGATGACTCATAGTTAAGTATTTCATCTAGTTTAACACGTTTACTCATAGTTAGGTAATTTACATGGTTAACCACGTTGTCATCTAGTTAAGTAATTAACCTGGTTAAACATATTAACTTAGTAACAAGTAAATCACTTGTTCAACACATTGCGGATATTGTAATAATAATAATACAATACAATACTTTTCAATTCTCAATCGGGTCAAGTGTGGCTCAGTGCCGAACTGTGAATTTGCGCAAAACAACAACAACAACAAAATAGCATATCATACTTTGGGGCTGTTGGTGTGTTATAAAGGTAACGATCAAATAAGACTATTCGGTCAAACAATGGTCGGCGGTGGGCGCTGTTTACTAGCTCCCTTATCTCACTAGTATATCAGAAACGGCTAACATAGATAGTTATTGTGTAGCTTAGTGCAATCACAAATATTCAAAAGATAATATAATATGCAATATAAAACAATACAATAATAAATGGCCCGGTGCAGCCAGGTGGTTAGGGCGCTCGACTTGCAATCTGAGGGTTACGGGTTCGAATTACCGTCCCACCAAACATGCTCGCCCTTTTAGCCGTGGGGGCGTTATAATGAGATGATCAATCCAACTATTCGTTGGTAAAAGAGTAGCCCAAGAGTTGGCGGTGGGTAGTGATTACTAGCTGCCTTTTCTCTAGTTTTTTACTGCTAAATTAGGAACGGCTAGCGCAGATAGCCCTCGTGTAGCTTTGCGCGAAATTAAAAACAAACCAAACCAATAATAAATACTTTTAACATGGAATTGCCCCCCCCCCCTTCCAATGGCTCAGCAATAAGTGTGAAGGCTTATAACACTAAAAATGAGTTTTGATACCTGTGAAGGCACAACACTGATAGCCAATCGTGCAGCTTAACAATAAATCAACAAACAAATAACATAGAATTAAATTGCAATATATTAAAATTAATTTATTTTTATATAAATAAAACTAACCTTTTATGAAATATCAAATCAATATCAGTTTACAAAACAACCCAGTTCAATATAAAAACAAACCTTCGAAGGAATTATAATCATTATTAAGATCAGAAAAACACGATACAGTACTTTTTGATACAGTACTTTTTGAATTCCATAACTCCAAGTGATTAGAATTCAAGAGATAACCCATCACGATGATCCAATCATAGTTAAAAAACACCACAGTGCACCCCTTTAGAAACTTACAAAAAATATTGTAACACGTAGAACAAAGTATAATATATGACACCAATACACAATGAATTCACCCTCTGATGAAACTAATTGAGCTGAAGTAGAATAGTGAACACTCCTAAGTAATTATTAATTAATATCGTATTTATAGCATAAAAGTTGCCACTTGTTTTGGTGTTTGTTTAGTGTCAAACACAAAGCTACACAGTGGGTTATCTGTGCCCACCATGGGTATCGAGACCCAGTCTTTTTTAGCATCGTAAATCTTCAGACTTACCGCTGAGTCAGTGGAGGGCGGGTACCACTTGAAGATTTCCCTTTAAGAATTGCTCAATCGACGAGAATACAAAAAATTCTTTATCACTAATTATGATTACACAGGACATAGCAAAGAAGAAAGATAAAATATAACAGCAGTACTCATATCGTACTTTATGAAAAGAAAATCCTTTGATGATAATCAGTTTAGAAATGAGATAATATAGTATAGAAACGCAATAATACAGACATTTAACAATAAATACGGTAGCATCTCACTAAAGGCGGGCCCGGCATGGCCAAGTGGTTAGGGCGCTCAACTCGCAATCTGCGGGTCACGGGTTCGAATCCCCGTCCCACCAAACATGATCGCCCTTTCAGCCGTGGGGGCGTTATAATGTGACGGTCAATCCCACTATTCGTTGGTAAAAGAGTAGCCCAAGAGTTGGCGGTGAGTGGTGATGACTAGCTGTCTTCCCTCTAGTCTTACACTGCTAAATTAGGGACGGCTAGCGCAGATAGCCCTCGTGTAGCTTTGCGGGAACTTCAAAAAACAAAAACAAACACTAAAGGCGATAAATAGTAAAATAACATCTAGCAATATTATCACAATGAAACGGTTTAGTTTTAAAATGTAAAAGAGTTACTCAACATAAACACAATAATTCCCTAATAACGTAAGAACCCTATATATTGTCCCATCGTGTGAGTACGGATATGTCAAACAGTGGAACGAAAATTTGGGGAACTTCTAGTGAGTCTCTCTCCTGGTGGGACAGCTATAAGTTTATTAACTTACAATGCTTAAATCAGAGGCTCGATTCCTCTCGGTGGACACAGCAGATAGCCCAACGTTGCTTTGCTTTAAAACAAACAAACTAGTGAGTCTTGTCAAAGACAAAATAGCCAACATAGTCAAGATCTTGACCGTACGTAACAAAAAGTCATTATTGAAAGATGGTGATAATATGGATTCTGAATTATCAAAAGCTCAGCCAGAAGTGTAGATTTGAATGTTGTGACTGCCCAATCATAACTACTAACAATTGTTCTGGTCATGTGATATTTTTACAGGCGTACTGTATATAATGTAGATAATGAATCACTTATTTGTGGACGACTACGTTCGTGGAGTTTTGTTAGGGTCACACATATGACCAGCCCACAGCCATGCTGCCCATCGTGTCGTACCTATGACTACAGCTAGATCAGCTAACTATAATCCGCCGCGTTTTGGTTGTTATACAAACAGATCCAGGATCCAGTGTGGAATGAAAAGGATTAACAATATAAAGATTAGTTCCTACACAGATAATTCAAACAGGATGGCCACTGTACGAGGCCAACCTGAGCTTCTGATCATGAGAATCCGTTATCACGGACATCTTAGCTCCCTAAGACTTCGCCTTCATACAAGTGAAGGACAATTTGAAGAGACTACAAAGCAATTTCACATGGGTGTTACTTTGTGTCTCAGGTAACACACTCACAATCCGCAATATCCTATGTTCTAACTGCAACTTGTTAAGAAATATTCAATGAAAAGATATGTGCTTGTGAAATATTTCAGTCTGAATGATTGATCATATTACATTAAAACCAAATAAGACATTTGGTACATCAAGTATAGATATAACATGGCACATAAGCTACCTTCATAAAACACTGGGTGCACCACGTTTAGTTATAGCATGACACTTAACTTCACAAAACAACGGGTAGACCAAGTTTACATATGACACGACACATAAGCTATCTCGATAAATCACTGGACACATCAAGTTTATACATGACATGGAATTTCACTTACCTTCATAAAATACTGGGTACCCCATGTTTACATATGACATAATACATAAACTACCTTTATACAACAGTTCGGTCCGACCGAAAATATTCCTTATTAATATCGCCAAACACACCTGCTTAAACTTTGTTTTATTCCAAATATAGGGTGCACTCACGTGTAAGTTTTATCTCTAATGAAAACAAGTCAAACCTACCAAAATTTCAATGTTAAAACTAAAAATACTCTTTTCACCAGTATCAACGAAAATATTGTATACAATGTATCTTCCAATGATGCTCCAGAGGCCAGTAATCACAGTTTCACTTCTTATATTGCACTCTTAAGATTAGGATAAAATTCTTTAT